CATGCAGATAAATGCAAAAGCATTTTACCCTCCTGGAAAGGCATACATATTTATGCCCAATAACATGTTTATATATAATAAATCTCTTAATTTTTTTTAAATTACGTAGATTACCTTAAAGGAAATAAAATTTAATGGTCTAAATTATTGCATCATAATATTTGCCTTTATCATTAAATTCAAAAAGCTAAATAATTCACATAGAATTTAACATGCAAAATATAAGTAAATATATGCAATTACCCCGAAGATAAACATTTTTGTCCCAATAATCAAGATTATGCATATAAAATCTCGATTTTTTAAAAAATTACATGCATAATTAAAATTGGATTCAGGCACCCGGGTACCTATTTGGGATACAGTAGAGATAATATGTTTTACTATACCTACCTGGGATGATACATATTGCATGATTGGCAAAGGGTAGCATTTTTAGTATTACAAACATTCGTCTTATCGTTATTGAAATCGATAATTTAAGAAATTTATTTTCTTTGTGCTACTAGTTTATGCATCATCTCTACATAGAATATTGAGGGTTTTTAAACCTCCTGCACCGAACGTACATATAGAGCAATCCCAAAGATTGATAACTGATAATGCATATCTAATACTGACAATTCTAATCGAAAGCTTGTACCATCTTTCTATTTAGAACTCTGAATGCGTTCCATTTTCTTTAATGAAAAATTTCACTGCAATGAATCGTAATTAGGAATGATGTGTGATAGACGATGGGTACTTTAGTCAGTGCTTTACAAATAATCGGTAATTATTCGAAAATCAATATAAACAGACGTTTTTGACCTTTCTTTCAACTTTGTAATTTACGATTCTAAAAAAAATGCAGTCTAATAACCTTTTATATTCATTCATTATTTTGTTATTTGCTTTCTATAAGCTAGCACTATGTAAAAATCCTTCTGATGATGCATTTTCAAAATTATACAAACATGATCCTGAATATCTTATCAACAAACGCTATTTTAGAATCGAACCAGCAGCAACAGCATTTACTCTTGATGTTGAACCAATAAGTTATCCTGATAAATGTGAATTAAAACAATTGCATTTACTTACTAGACATGGTAATTATTATCTGTTCGTACACATTCGCAAACTTTTGACGAAATAATATAATAATCTTTAAAATTATTAATTAGGATCAAGGTTGCCAGAGGCAGGTGAAGTTTTAAAGTATGATCAGTTGCAACAAGTATTTGCAAATGTTTCTGTTGCAAAAGAATGGGTAAGAAAATAAATATCTTCATTTAAAGATTTACATATATATATATATATATATTTCTTAAAAAAAGCTTTCATTATTTTAGTATAAAAATCCTTTTACCTTGGAAAGAAATTTTCAATTGGTTCACCGTGGAGAAGTGGAACCATATTATGATGGGAAACAATGTGCTTTAAGATACGATAAATTTTGGAATACCGTTAAAGAAGAAACTGGTAGATTTGATCCTGAAGTTGTACATTTTCAGGGTTGCTCTTTTTCAAGGTATAATTATAGCAATTATTTACGTATACCTAAATAAATTTATATAAATTTTATTTGTAATTTCAATTATTTAAAGGTGTGGTGAGTCAGCAATGGCTTTTTCTGAAGGATTATTTGATGGTTATGGCAAAGTGGGTCCCTGTAAAAATCAGCCAGTATACATTACATCTACACCAGTGGTAAATATTATTTATATAAAACGAGATTCTTTTTATCGTATTATTTTTAATCATTTATGATATTTCTATAGAGACAAGATTATGTTTTAGAACCATATCAAGATTGTCTACTTTTAAACACCACTGTTTTCAGTAATAATCCAAGATATAACGAACAAATTTATGCATATGGTAATACGACCTTAACATCAATTGCTAAGCGTATGTCCAATGACTATGGCATCTACCCACCTCTTAATCCGGCTTTAGTGCCATATATATTTCATATTTGTGAATTCTCAGTTCTAACTTTTAATCGAACTGACACTTGGTGCTCATTACTAAGTGAACTTGATATTAAAAAATTACGTTATTATTGGGATATGAGCGATTATTATCTTTATGAATATGGTAGTTCTCTTAATGAACAGACCGGCTGTGCCTATGTTACTCAACTTGTAAATGGTGTTGAAAATTACTTGAATGGAAGTTCTGTAATGAAAGCTGATCTGAAAAATGGCCATTCACACGGCATGCTTATGGTACTTACTACGTTGGTATGTAAAATTTTTTTTTTAAATTTTATTATGCATTTCACTTTTTTAATATACTTTGAAATCAGTATTAATAACTTTTATTATATCTCTTATTTTAGGGTGTACATAGAAATCCAACACTCACTGCGAATTTTACCCTTGAACAAATTGAACAGATTAAATATTCGGAGGCTAAAACTATATTTTGGTCATCTACAATTTATTTCGAAATTTATACTTGTTCAGACAAGTCAAACAGTACATTAATACGATTGGTACTTAACTTTGAACCACTTTTAATTCCGGGTTGTGAAGGTGAATATTGTGAGTGGTCTACATTTAAAAAGGTTCTTGGTAATAAGATTGGTTGCGACTTTGATAAATTGTGTGACAATCCGCCGCAATAATATTTACATAAGAGTATTTTACTTGTAATATAATTGTAGTATTAGAACAACTAATAGATTAAATACTTTATCTCGATAGTAAAACTAAATGAAATTAAATTGATCTTCTTCAATTACCGTTAATAAAATAAACTTTTGATTTTATAATACATTATTTTTATACATATTTTGTATTCTAACGATTGTCAAAAAAGAGACTGGTACGAGATTACACACCACATTCTTACACTTTCCTGATAATAGAAATGGGAGGATCTATCTAATAATAAATTTAAACTGAGCTGCATAAAATATCTTGTAAGTCAAGATAAGTACTTATAAGAACGAAATTACGTACCCTGTCCAATTTTATCCACCTACGCATTATTTTGAGATGTCTGTCTATATGCATTATTTCAATTTTTTTTAAACCAGATACATAGTGATGATCTGTCTTCGAAACGAACCAGTTACCAATTGAATGTTTATATTACGGTCCCAACATTAACGCTAACTGATAAAATAACTGATAAACTAAAAATAAAAATCAGTGGAATTTTTCCTTTAAATGTTTAATCACATTAAAGTATTAATATAAAAGGTCCTTTACTTAAAGTACTAATTAATTCCTTAATTCTAATAATAAATTTTGAAACTCGTAACAGTATTAGTATAAAGGGTCTTCTAATTAAAGAGGTACTAATTAATTCCTTAATTCTAATAATAATTTGTTGAAACTAGTAACAAGCAATAATCTGTATCCGGTCATATTATTTAAGTTCTTAAGATCGTAAAACCTATGATCGGATAATATGCACGTTCCTACAGGGACTGAGACTTTCCAAGACGGACCGAACATCACCAACAATATTAACTCAATTTACCCTTTCATTTCAAGAAAAGCATAGGTCATTGAGCAATATAATTATTATTATTATTTATCGCATTATGTCTTGATGTATTTTAGTTTCATCTTACAGAATATCATAAGTCTAAGTAATAAAATTTTCACTCCGGGCGATTTGACAGGTCTGGACTGCAAAGTCCACCACTGCTCCTGACAATAAGCTATTCAAGCTTTTAGCATTTATTTTTACATATTATCTCTCATTTGGGGATTTTTATTCGCATAAACTATTGCGGATGCGTATAGAAAAATCATTTACGAACGATATATACGAATATTATAATTTGTTAAAATCTAAAGTCACGAATCATAGTTTAGAAATATAGCATACATAGATTGTAATTAGATATGCGAATGCAAGTTTTCTGTCTTTGCTTTATATAAAGCAACATTACGAAACAT